ATGCTTGGTGTTTTTGCGGGGCTAGGTGAAGCTCTTAATACGTAGTCTGGCTGCCGTGGAATTTGTTATGTAGCCTAAGTTGGCTCCAGTTGGGATCCTCTTACCTTTACCTCTCAAGTGTTAGCATTAGAGGCATGGGCCACTATCTGTGTTGCCAGGAAAAGGTGTACAGGCAGCGCTTGTGAGACCTGTGCTTTGGCCAAGGAGGACTCTCAGGCCAGCCTGGAGCCTCCTGCACCCGGCAAAAGTGCACAGACACCCAAATCCGTATACACATGGGGGAGAACAGGGCAGAAAAGACAATCGCATGTAACATAATTCTAAATCTAGATTTCTCTTAAGACTGTATTAGTTTCAGCACTCGGGAGGCAGAGGCAGGCGGATCTATGTGAGTTCAAGGCCAGCCTGGTCTACAGAGCGAGTTCCAGGACAGGCTGCAATGCTACAGTGAAACCCTGTCTCGAAAAATACACACACACACACAGACAAAACCTTTGTTGCTTTCTTATTACATTAAAAATGTATGTGTGTATGTGGCATGGACTCACGTGCCATGGTACCTGAGTGAGGCAGGAATTGGTTTTCTCTCTTCATGGTGTAGGTTCCAAGGATCAAACTCAGGACTTGAGGTTTAGAATCAAGCACCTTTATCCCCTGAGCCCTCTCAGCAGCCCTGTACTTGTTACGTAAAGGCTGTTTCTATAAAGGTGGGCCTGGGTTGCACAGTCGTTATCTTTAACTTGCCCTTGTCACACTGAGGCACGGTGGTTAAGAGGCTGGGCTCTGGAGCCTGTCTGCTTGGGTCTCATCGAATCTGGTTTGACCACTGCTTGTCGTAGGACTCTGGACAAGCTTCTTTTAAGCTCTGTGCCTTTATTACTCACCATTAAAACGTGAATGATGATAGTGTTCACCTCACAGAGTTGTTCTAGGATGAGTTAAGCTAAAGTGCTTAAAATCGTGACAAGCACATAGTAAAGGTCAATAAACGCTGGTTTCCTTATTCATCCGTGTAAACAAAACATTATCATTCTGGTGTTTGATCTCTGAGTCCCTTCCTCTGCCCCCCAAAAACAACAAAACAACAACAAAATATCCCAAGCCATGATCATTGTAGGAAAAGTAGGAGGAAAAAAAAAAAACAAACAATAAAATAAATGTCAGTAAAGTTAACATTTAAAATTCCTATTGTATGCGTATATGACACACATATTAAAGATGTATGTAATTTTATGTGTGTGGGCTTTTTTTCTGCACACTGTGTGCATGCCAGTGAGAACTGGAGCTACAGGTGGCTGCTAGCTACTGTGTGGGTCTTGGGAATAGAACTTGGGACCTTTACAAGAGTAGCAAGTGCTCTTAACTACTGAGCCATCTCAAGTGGTGGCCTTTAATCCCAGGAGGAGGTCTGTCTGACTTACGTAGTGAGTCCCATACAAAACAAAACAAAAAGGTTATTCTGTGTGTATGGGTGTTTTGTCTGAGTGTATGTTTGTGTATTATGTGTGAGTGTGTTACTGGAGAACAGAAAACAGTGTCTGATCCCCTGGAACATGTAACTGCTTCAGGAAAAAGATTAGTTTGTGTGAAAAAAAAAAAAAAAAAAAAAAGCAGACCTTTAACCACAGCAGTTTGTTTCAGGAAGAAAACAGTAGCCATGCAAACTGCCAGCCATGAGGGGAATGCAAAAATACATAAAACCCCAGATCTGACCCCCAGCACTACATAAAGTAGGCCTGCTGGTACATGCTTAGTATCTTAACGGGGCAGGGTGTGTGCGTGTGTGTGCGTGCGTGTGCGTGTGCGTGTGCGTGTGTGTGTGTGTGTGTGTGTGTGTGTGTGTGTTTGTACCCTCTTACAAGCTAAAAACAATAAAAAGAGAAAACTACCTGAGCATGTTGACACATGCCTATACCCCTAGCCCTTGGGAGGCAGAAGCAAGATGATCAGAAGTAAGGTGATCTGCTACAAAGCCAGTCCCAAGCTGTCCTGTGTATTACATGAGACCCTGTCTTAAAAACACAGCAAAAGGGCTGGAGAGATGGCTCAGTGATTAAGAGCACTGGCTGCTCTTTCAGAGGACCCAGGTTCAATTCCCAGCAACCACATGGCAGCTCAGAACTGTCTGTAACTCCAGAACCCAATATACCCTCACACAAATATACAGGCAAAATACCAGTGTGCATCACACTCACACACATTCACACACACACCAAAATAGTGGAGGCAGAAGAAGATGGATCTCTGCGAATTCAAGGCTAGCTTGGTATACAGAGTTAGTTCAGGACAGCCAGGGGCTATACAGAGAAACCCTGTCTTGGAAAAACAAACAAACAAACAAACAAAACCCCCAGCAAAACACAAAACCCAGAAAATTGATCTTTTTCTTCTTTTTCTTTTGAGACAGGGTCTCACTACACGGTTCCTGGTTCTTTTGAAGCTCACTGTGTAGACCAGTGAGACTGGCCTCTAATTTAGATATCCCTCTTCCTCCTGAGTGGAGGGATCAAAGGGCAATCGCCACCATGCAGGCTACTATCAACCAACATCTTGCATAGAGTGCTTTAAGTGTATGCACACTCAAAAGTAGTAACCCTGCTGTAGAGAAACTTAGCAGCCAGCCTTGAGCTAAGGGTCGGGTAGTGTCCATCCAGATCAGCACTCTGTCCTTGGTCTGATTTGATGATTTCACACATCACTTCCCTGATATTTTTTCCTAAATAACCTTAGTTTAATCGAAAGACAATATCAGACAAATCCAAATTGAGGGCTATTTTTTTAAAGGTTTATTTATGTATACAGTATTCTGCCTGCATGTATCCCTGCAGGCCAGAAGAGGGCATCAGATCTCATTCAGATGGTTGTGAGCCACCATGTGGTTGCTGGGAATTGAACTCAGGTCTCTGGAAGAGCAGCCAGTGTTCTTAACTACGGGCCATCTCTCCAGCCCCCAGAGAGGTATTCTTATTTTTTTGTTTTGTTATTTCAAGATAGGGCTTTTTTGTGTAGCCCTGGCTGTCATGGTCTCTAGACCAGGCTACCCTCAAACTCAAATCTGCCTCTGGGACTAAAGATGTGTGCTACTACACCCACCCTAACTGGTTCTTAAGATGTGTCAAGATCAAGAAAGAAGGACTTTTAAATTATTTATTAACTAATTTTTTTTTCTTTTTTCTTTTTTTTTTTTTTTTTTTTTTTGGTTTTTCAAAGCAAGGTTTCTTTGTGTAGCCTTTGGTGTTTGGGAACTAGCTCTGTGTACCAGGCTGTCCTTGAACTCGCAGAGGTCCACCTGCTTCTGTCTCCTTCTGCCTCCAGCGTGCCGGGATTAAGATGTGTGCCACCACACCTGGCTTTCTCCCTTATTTTCTGAGACAGGATCCCTTGCTGAGCTTGGCGCCCTTGCTTTGACTGTAGCCCCGGGGGTCCCATCCCTGCCTCCCCAGTATGGTCCTTATACTTAGAGCCCTTGCCTACTGAGCTGTCTTCCCAGCCTCTGGTTTTGATTTTGAGTGTCACTCTGCAGTTTGCAGCTTGGAACTGTGTGGATCAGGCTGCCTCCACCTTGCCATGATCTGCCCGCCTTTCCCTCCTGAGGTCCAGGATTGCTGGTGCATTGTACAGTGCCTTGCAACAAACTGCTTAACTCATTCTTCCCTTACAGAAGTTCTAGGTGATGCTAAGATGTTATTTTGTGTCTGTTTAAACTTTTTAAGAATTCAGGAGAGTGTAAATTACCAAAACAGAACTGTCTGGTTACTTTTCTGTTGTTTTGATGAAACAACTTAAGGAAGGGGTTGTTTTGGCTTAAGGTTCCAGAGAAGGAGAGTCCATAGTGGTAGGGAAGGTTTTGGGCATGCGGGCAGAAATAGAAATAGGAGCAGGCAGCTAGCACGTACATGTTTTATTCTCAGAAAACAAGGTGAGGGCAGGTGGAGAAAGAGACGATAGACGGACAGACAGACACACACACACAGAGGGAGTAAGAGAAACAGAGAGATACACACAGGGGGGGAAAGGGGGGGGACTGACGGACAAGGCAACAGAAATGGGCGGGGCTGTCCTCAGAGCATCAGCAACTGGCAACCCAGCATTCAAATACCTGAGCCTGCAGGGCACATGGCTCATTCAAGCCACTGCAGACCTCCATTTATGTACTGTGCGTGTGCGCCCCATCCTATGCACAGTAAGAGTAAAAGCGGTCCTCTGATCTCTGAGCTCCTGAGAACTGACTGTCTCCCCATTGCAGGCACTCAGTTCAGATTCTTCACCATCTGCCCACAGTTGTCGTCCTTGTCTCCAGTTAATCCCTTTTCACACAGTGGGGTTTTGGTTTTGGTTTTTTTGGGACAAGATCTATGTAGCCCTGGCTGTCCTGGAACTGACTGTAGACCAGGCTGGCCTCAGACTCAGACATCCACCTGCCTTCCGAGTGCTGAGGTTAAAGGTGTGCGTCATCTCACCCAGGGATCCGGCACAGTAGGCAAGCACTCTACGACTGAGCTCTACCCCAGCAACAGAGGGGCTTGTAAAGAGAAGTGTCCGCTCACTGTTGAACCTTGCAGTGACATCTCATGGCCTTTGTGACAGAGCCCACATTCCACATAGGACTCCTGGTGGCCTGGCCCTTGCTGTCCACACTTGTTTCTTGACAGTTCTTTGTACCCCTCAGGCCAGCCTTTTTCTGAGCCCAGCTGGGCCTAATGCTCTATTGTCCCAGTCCTCCACCCAGCTAGCTCTTTCTGCCTTGAGGGCACATTTCTGGAAAACTTCTCAGACCCTCCTTTCTTCCAGCCCGCATTAGGAGTCCTGTCCGTGTAAGCCTCCATGGAAGCTTCTGTTGCGTTGTGATTTATGTGTGTGCTTACGTGATATCTGCTCCCACCTGGATTTATTCCTCATAAGCAGCTGGTACTCAGTTCTTGGTGAATGCCTGTTAGACAGGTGAATGGATTTTGGCAGTAACCTGGGGCTGTGGCCACACAAATGTGGCCTTTTCCGAAGTGAATTCTTTTTCCTGTTTCTGCTTTCAGGACCTGGGTTTCAGTGATGAGACATGGGGTATGATGTAACACGTTTCCAGGGGGATGTTGACGAGGACCTTATCTGCCCTATTTGCAGTGGAGTCTTGGAGGAGCCAGTACAGGTGAGTGGGTCTGGGGGCTGGTTTGTGGGGTCAGTGGATGACAATAAAACTACCCAAAAATGCTCTTGAGGAATGGACCCCAAGAAAGTCCCTGTGTCCTTCTACCATTCCTGCCCCAGTAGAGGTTTGGTACAGAGGAGAATTTGTGGTTACAGGAAGAATAGTGACATTCTGGACTCTACTAGAGTTGGGTTCAGCTATCCTGAGATCACTGAGATACTTGTGGACAGTAATCACCTGCTTGTTTCTTCCCACAGTGGCTTGGTAGTGACTGCTCTTCTGAGAGCTCTGAGGTTCATGTTCTGTCAGTGACTGACCTCCTAGATTTGCTCAGTTAGTTCTCACTGCGCTTGGACAGTGTGATACTCTTCGTGTGACCAGCTGTTGCACTGGGGCCTTTTTTGCCTGCCTCTAGTCTAACGTAGAACAGGTGGGACTCTTTCTTCCTAGGATCTACCGAAAAGGTTTGATGGAGCCATGCACTTGGCATTTTGATGTGAAACCTTCCAGGTCAATAGGTCATATCCTGTACCAGCCAGACCAGGCTCTTGAGTCATTGTGTTCTCCCGGGACAAGTTTGAGAAGCTCAGGATTGCCAGGCAAGGCGTAAGGTAAATCGGTGGCAATGACATTCATGGGGCATGATCCTGTGCGAGCCTTATTGCCCTCATTTTGCAAATACCAGTTAGTCCTTTGCCACTTGGCCAGTTGAGACAATACAAGTTTCCAAACCGGGACAAGAGTAAAGTCTCCTCCTTTGCTACTTGTAGACAGTTCGCAGGCTTCCCTTGAGGCTTGGAGTTGATTCTTTCTCTCCACAACAGTGGCTGTCAGTCCTGGAGCCAGAACCCTTCCCATGTCTTTGATATTAAAGGCATATCAGATGTGTGTGGAGCAACTGGTGTCCCGAGGTCACAGGGTGGGCCCTGCTCCCTGCGGCATTGGCAGGGTATTGTGTACCCTCTGCCACTGCCATTTAAGGCAAGTCACTTGTGAAGCGGTGAAATGGTTATTAGTGAGTCCCAAGTCAGAAGCCACCCAGCCACCTCCAATGTTTACCTCCTCAGAGAGGAGGAAGGTGGCCTTCATGACAGTTGGTATATTTCCAAGGGTCTTGTTGCACTGGTCCTACCACTGAATTATTTACTTATTAACGGATGGGTCATATTTATTGAAATGATTACAAAAATCAAGTTGCAGCTGGAGAGATGGTTCAGTGGTTAAGAGTACTTGCTAATGTCCCAGGGAACCCAAGATTGAGTCCCAGCAACCTGTTTTTTGGCTCTCAGTTGCCTTTAACTCCAGCTTTGAGGGGCTCTAAAGCCTCTGACCTCAGGCACCTACTCTCTGTGCATGTGCCCTCACACAGGCACTGGTACAACTACACATAATTAAAAACAATAAAAGTAACAAACTTTAAAGGTCAAGGGGAAAACTGACTTTTCTTCTGTAGTGGTTATCAATTGGAGATAGCTTCTGGGTTTGGAATGGGGCTCGTGTCCACGTCCCAGGAAGTGCTGGGGCCCCATCTGGCTTGGATCCAGGCTGTGCATGCTGCTGCAGTCTGAGTTCACAGGTGTCTCAGTCCTGTTGCGTCTGGAAGAAGGCCTTGATCCCTTGCTCTTCATCCCCGCTGGCTCTTAAATCTTTCCTCCTCTTCTGCAGGATTCCTGACCCCTGTGTTGAGGGGTCTAATGAAGACTTCCCATTTAGGACTGAGTGTTTTGAGCTCTCTAACTCTCTGCACACTGTCCAGTTGTAGGGTCTCGGAATATATTGTGTGAAAAACCTTTTTCCAATTAAAAAAAAAAAGGTCAGCGAGAGAAGAAATGGCTTAAGATTGTGGACCGTGGGGATCAGAGTTTGCGTCCTAACACCCACAGACAGCTCTCGGCAATCCATTGCCCTCCTCTGGCCTCTAGGGGTCTGAGGCATGGGAATAAACAGACATAACATGCTGGCAAAACACTTCCGCACATAAAATAAAAACAACTGAACTTTTAGAAAACTCATCAGGCTGGTTGTGGCTTGTGAAGTGAGGTATGCTGGAGGAGTGGAGGCAGAGGCTTAAGTTGGAGGCCAAGGTGAACTCTACCTTAGTGTGCTGGGATGGCTAAGCGGCTCCTGGCAAGTAAACCTGTGACCTGCCCCCGATCCCATGATAGAAAACGTCCTTCACACCTTCCTGTCCCCCTACCCTGCTCCTCTGTCCTGCCCTCAGCTCTGCACACACAGATAATAATACTTTTTTTTAAAAAGAAATCTAATAGCCAGGCAGTGGTTGCTCAGACCTTTAATCCCAGCACTTGGGGAGCAGAGGGAGGCGGATCTCTGAGTGTGAGACCAGTCTGGTCTGCAGAGTGAGTTCTAGAACAGCCAGGACTATACAAACAAACCCTGTCTTGAAAAACAAAGAGAAAGAAAAAAATCAAAATAATATAAAAAGATACACCAAAAAACACACATTTCTGCTTCCACCAAAGGTAGTGTTATCTTTTTTGAGACAGGGCTTTGCTGTGTAGCCTTGGCAAGTCCTAATTTATTTTCCTCCCTAAAGTAGGGGTGTGTGTGTGTGTATGTCTCTGTGGTGTGTGTATGTGTGTGTGTATATGTCTCTGTGGTGTGTGTGTGTGTGTGTGTCTGTCTCTGTCTCTTATGCTATGGTGTATGTGTCTGTCTGTGTCTATCTGTCTGTCTCTCATGGTGTGGTGTGCTATGTGTGTTTGTCTCTGATGGTGTGGTGTGTGCGTGTGTATGTCTATCTCTGTCTCATGCTGTGGTGTGTGTGTGTGTCTTTCTGTCTGTCTTTCTGTCTGTCTGTCTCTGATGCTGTGGTGTGCTAGTATAAGTCCGTTCTCTCTTGCCACGTGTTGGTCCCAGTGATTGAATGCAGGAGACCAGACTTGGAGGAAATTCATTGTCCTCCTGAGCCACCTCATTGGCTTGACCCTGCTGTCTCAGCCTCCGTAGCTTGAGAAATACATATATGTGCCCAGTCTATACATACTTTGTTTTTATTAGTTTATAATTTATTTATTTATTTGTTGTGACAAGGTCTCTCTGTATGTTCCTGTCTGTCCTGGAACTTGCTCTGTAGACCAGGCTGGCTTCAGACTCATAGAGATCCTCCTGCTTCTGCCTCCTGAGTGCTGAGACTAAAGTTGTGAGTCACCACACCTGGCTTTAAAATGGGGCCAGGTGTAGCTCTATGAGCTTGAGACTGGTTTACAAAGTGAGTTCTAGGACAGCTAGGGCTGTTACATAGAGAAACGTTGTCTCAAAAAAGTAAAAAGTAAATAAATTTTTAGAAATATTTTCTAATGTAATTACATTCTTAAATTTCTTAATTAATTTTTAAAAATCTAATTTTCAAATTACATTTAGAGTGCATGATTGCCTGTGTGAGTACATGTACACAGTTCAGAGGACAACAATTTTCTTTTTCCACAGTGTGAGTCTTGGACATTGAACTCAGGTCATCAGTGTGTCGGAAACGTGTCTGAACTCTGTCACCAGCAATCTCTAGTTAGTGTCTTAGCGATGAAAGCGAGTGTTTAGAGGGAAGAAAGGAACTTAGCTTGCTTTTCTCTTTCTTGTTTTTGGTGGTGGTAGAGGTGGATCCCAGCACCTTGTTCTCGCTAGGCAGGTTTTCTGCCACCGAATACATACATCCCCAGCCTCAGTCTGCACTTTTCAAGTGATGCTCTGACTGACAGGTGTAGACTGCATAATAAGAGGCAAGAGAAACCAGTTGGAAGGCATACCTAATAATTTAGGTCAGAGGTGACGTGATTAGTAGCAACAGAGACAGAGGAGAGCAGAGAAATCTAGGATTTGTGTTTTTTCTTAGACAGTGTGTTTAGACTTTGAGATGACCCAAGCAAGTGTGGTGGCCTATTAACCCAGCGCTCCCTACACAAGCCAACCACTTCGAGGGCTTTGTGCCAAAGCACGTGGGGGCAAAAGTTTTGAGGTTTGCTTTTTTATTTTTATTTCATGTGTTCGTAGTTAGCCCTTTTATTAGTGTTGTTTATACCCTTTTAGTGAACACCCTGTCACCTATTATTTTGTGTGTGTGCCCGGGCTCGAGTGTGCCCGCACAAGTGCAGAGCAAATGATACTCTGTGGGAGTTGGTTTTCTGCTTCCGGCAGGCTTGGTAGCAAACACCTTCACCTGCCGAGCCATCTCCCTCCCCGGCCCTGTGCTTTAGTCTCTGAGGAGTAACACCTGAGCCTGTGAGATGGGTTGAAGCACTTTCCACACAAGCCTGACAACCGGTTCGTTCTCTGGAACCCAGGGTGGAAGGGGACACCAGTCTCCATGGTTCATTTGCACACACAGTAAATCAAAGGTTAACCTGACTTAGACACTCTGGCCCCTTGCTGGGTGCTTTGGTTTTTGAAGCAGGATAGGGTTATATAAACCAACTAGCCTGGGACTTGAGATCCTCCTGCCCAGTTTCAACTTCTGAGTCCTAGAATCCGAGCGCCCCCCCCCCCCTTATCTTAAAACTGAGAACAGCGACATTTCTCAAAAAGCACTGGTCTTGTTAGGAGCCCAGGTGTAGCAGTGGTGACTCGGGCAACACGTATGGAAAGGGTAGGTAGGACAAGCTTCAGAGGAGCCTCATCTCAAGGAACTTCCCAACCCTGGCTATGTGCTTTGTTGTTGGGTCCTTTGTTTTCATTTTTTAAAAATATTTATTTTTATTTCTGTGTGTGAGAGAGAGGGTAGAGAGAGAGAACTCCACATGTGTTTACGCTCCTGAGAAGGTCAAAAGAATCTGTCAGATCCCCTGAAGCTGCCGTGTGGGTGCTGAGAACTGAACCTGGGTCCTCTGGAAGAGCAGCCAAGGCTGTTAACTGCTGAGCCATCGCTCCAGCCTGTTTGTTTGTTTGGGTGCTTGGGGGGACTCACTGTGTAGACCATGCTGGCATGGAACTTGAAATCTGCCTGTCTCCCAAGAGCTGGGATTAGAGATGTGCACCTCCACACGTGTGCGGCGTGTGCGCCTCCCATGTTCTCGAAGCCCATGGAACTCAGCAGATGGTTTGCTAGAATCCTAAGGATCAAACTCAGTCTGTCAGACTTGGTGGCAACTGAGTCATGTCACCACTCCTTTGTTTTCTGAGGTGATTAAGTCTTGCCACATAGGGCAGGCACTCAGAGACATCTGCCTCAGGCCACACACTGCCAACATGCATTGCCACGAGGAGCCCTTATACTCTCTCTCTCTCTCTCCTTTATTATTATATTTATTTGTTTTGTTTTTCGGGACAGGGTTTTTCTGTAGCCTTGGAACCTGTCCTGGCACTGGCTCTGTAGACCAGGCTGGCCTCACACTCACAGAGGTCAGCCTGCCTCTGCCTTTCAAGTGCTTGGATTAAAGGTGTGCCCCACCCCCAAGGGGTCTTGTACTCTGTTATTTCTGCTGTGGTTAAGTGAGGCTTTGTCCCTCTAAAGGGCATCTGAGTCAGTCTTCAGGATCTGTCTTTAAACCTCCTCTCCGTAAGCATGTGGTGTGGCCAGCCTTGCCTGGAAAGAACTCACCTCTCTCCAGTTGTATTTAGCAATTATTGTGTTTGCAGCCCTGTCAGCAATTAGTAACTGACTGCCCTGTGTCACCACCCCATTGTCCTGCAGAGTTATTTATGTCTCTTACTGTTACGAAACCTATGCTTGTTTATCTTGAGCACAGGAAGTAAGACTTACACCTGGCCCAAAAATGCCCTGCCCCAAATAGAGCTACAATTTCCCATGACCCTATGACCCCGGGACCTCTGGCCCTAGAGCCTGCCCAGAGGCTTGACTGGCTGTGGGCCGCTGTTAACCCTTGTGTCCCTTCCAGGCACCTCACTGTGAGCATGCCTTCTGCAATGCCTGCATCACCCAGTGGTTCTCTCAGCAGCAGACGTGCCCGGTAGACCGCAGCGTTGTCACGGTTGCCCACCTGCGCCCAGTGCCTCGGATCATGCGGAACATGTTGTCAAAGCTGCAGATTGCCTGCGACAACGCTGTGTTTGGCTGCAGTGCTGTAGTCCGGCTTGACAACCTCATGTCCCACCTCAGTGACTGCGAGCACAATCCGAAGCGGCCTGTGACCTGCGAGCAGGGCTGTGGGTGAGACTCCCTCCCCCACCCCATTCCCATGAGGGCCCTTCCCATTTACGTCCCTGTCGGCAGGGACCACCCGCAGATCTCACTTCCAACCATGGTCATTTTGGTCTTGCATTGCTAACAAAGACGACAGCAACCCAGTGACCTCTGGTAACACTGAAGACGTAGGCACTTGTTTCTCTCCAGGCCAGTGCACTCTGTCCCTGTCCGGCTGCCTGCCCCAGTTTCTAGCCTCTCGTGTTCCCTTGTGCCCTACTTTCTGTCCGTGTGAGGTGGGAAATATTTGGTTAAATGCTGGCACCTGGGTCGGTGACCCAGGACTCCTCAGAAGGAATATGTATGTGTGCAGGTAGAAGCCAAGAGTAGCCGGACAGGACACAAGAGTTTTCCCTCTTAGAACGGCATCCTAAGAGTGAGTCAGGCTGGAGAAGGCAGCAGTGTGTGTGTGTGTGTGTGTGTGTGTGTGTGTGTGTGAGAGAGAGAGAGAGAGAGAGAGAGAGAGAGGAGAGAGAGATGGGGCTGTGTCTCTTCCAGTAAGTAGAGGGCTTGCTTTCCTGTTTACACAAAACTGGTTCTGTCCCCAACACGACATGAGCCAGCATGGTGGTCACAGCTGTAATCGCAGCACTCCGGAGTGGGAGGCAGGTGAGTTCAAAGTCATCCTTGGCACCATTAGAGGCCAGTCTGGGTCAAATAAGACCTTGTCTTTGTTTTTTTGTTTTGTTTTTTGAGACAGGGTTTCTCTGTGTAGCCCTGGCTGTCCTAGAATTCGCTCTGTAGATCAGGCTGGCCTCAAACTCACAGAGATCCGCCTCCCTCTGCCTCCCGAGTGCTGGGCTCAAAGGTGTGCGCCACCAATGCTGGTCAAGACCTTGTCTTAACACTAAGTCTTGAAAGGTGAAAGTTCAGCGTAGGGGCAAGAGTTTGTTTGGGAGAAGAAAGAGAGAAGGAAAAGATTGATAGATGTGAGTAGTGGCACACTCAGCAGTCTTCTGTTGCAGAATGAGCCGCTAGCCCACAGGTCCCGCTGAGCAGCCTGTTTGCTCTTCCCCCTCTGACCTGCAGCCTGGAGATGCCCAAAGATGAGCTGCCAAATCACAATTGCATTAAGCACCTGCGCTCCGTGGTTCAGCAGCAGCAGACTCGAATCGCGGAACTGGAGAAGACGTCTGCTGAACACAAGCACCAGCTGGCGGAACAGGTGGGACCCTCTCTGTAAATGACCTCCTGCCGGTCAGTCACAAACGCCTCCGTGGGTACCACACCTCGTGTTCTGGTCTGCGGTCCTGATGAGCGGATACTCTGCCTACGGCTCAGAAGAGTATCAGCTGGGGCTTTGCCCACTCCCCTCATCCCACTCACCTAACGTGGGAAATGCCGTCTTCACCAAGCCTCTCTGAGGCCTGGGGAGACAGCTGGAGTGGGACAGCCTTCTGCTGCCTTCCCCAGCAAGCTTGTAGTGCCTGTTCTCACCCTCCCAAGCCCCTCATTCTCAGATGTGCTGCTTGGCTTAACGGTCTCCTCTGGTTCTCCTTCCACCCGACAGAAGCGAGACATCCAGTTGTTGAAGGCATATATGCGTGCAATCCGCAGTGTCAACCCCAACCTTCAGAACCTGGAGGAGACGATTGAATACAACGAGATCCTCGAGTGAGTGTCAGTCAGGGTGTGGGGTCACTCTCTCCATGTCCTGGCAGCAAGGCCCCAAAGAAGGGGCAGGGGGTGGACGGAGTTAGCCGAGGGGCACTCGGGACCAAACAGGCCACTTAAAACCCACATGAGCCTGGTGGTGGTGGCGCACGCCTTTAGTCCCAGAACTCAGGGAGGCAGAGGCAGGTGGATCTCTGTGAGTTTGAGGATAGCCTGGTCTACAGAGTGAGTTCCAGGACAGCCAGACCGAGACCCTGTCTCGGTGGGAAGAAGGGGTCAGGGGAGGCTGAGTGTATCCAGGGAAAGTATCTGAAATGCAGCAAAAATAAGCAAGTGAACAAGGGAATCTACGACCCATTCAGTTAGGAGGCGTTTATGGTTGATACACCAAACTGTGAGCCTGGAACTAGAGGGCTGCCGCGTGCAGAACACGTGTCTTCACTCAGGGCACTCTGGGTGAGCAGTTGCTACAGCGTTGTAGGTGCTGTGCACACATTGGGACTTCGGAGAATAACAGTCTAGACTGTTGAACATGGAGAGTGATGTGACCTGGATAGGGCCAACTAGAGGAAGATCTGGGTTTTCTGGGCCAGTGCTGGAAGGAAGGCCAATCGTCCTGCAGAGGGAGGAAAGGTCATTTCTGTTCAGAGAAGAGCCAGAGCAGAGAAAGGTGTGAGCTGGATTGACTGTCCTAACCCTCTCTCTACACAGGTGGGTGAACTCCCTGCAGCCGGCAAGAGTGACCCGCTGGGGAGGGATGATCTCCACCCCTGATGCTGTGCTCCAGGCAGTAATCAAGCGCTCCTTGGTGGAGAGCGGCTGCCCGGCCTCTATTGTCAATGAGCTGATTGAAAACGCCCATGAACGGAGCTGGCCCCAGGGTCTTGCCACGCTAGAGACAAGGCAGATGAACCGGCGCTACTATGAGAACTACGTGGCCAAGCGCATCCCTGGCAAGCAGGCCGTTGTGGTGATGGCCTGCGAGAACCAGCATATGGGTGATGACATGGTGCAGGAGCCTGGGCTCGTCATGATATTTGCGCACGGTGTGGAGGAGATCTAAGCGTCACGGGCTGTGAGGAAGAGGTAGAATTGGAAAAACCCATTGCTCCAGCTGCTGAGCCCTGACGCCTCCCACTGTCCTTATGCCATGGCCTGTAATTGAGCCACGTACTCCCTGCTTTTCTGGCACGAAGGACCTTGGGGCGCTTTGCTGAGCCTCTCAGCGGATGAACACAGATTCCTGCCTTCTGCCATATCCCTTCCCCCCACAATGTCTGTCAAGTTTCAGTCTGGGTGGGAGAACCCCACTTCTGTATTTCCTGCCTCAGATCCCTGGTTCCCAAATATTTTCAGAAAGCACAAAGAAATTTGTTTTCCCTAGAGAACCAGGGTGGAGTGAGGAATCTCTAATTGTCCCTCTCTTCCAAAACCAGGGGATCCAAGCAGGCAGGCTTGCTGACTTCCTTCCCGAAGCATTGAGAGAGAGCGCAGCTCTGAGGAGCAGACATCCAGCAGAAGTGTTGAGGGTGTTGCCCAGTCATCACTGACAGCTCTTGGGGAAGACTGGACCTTTGTGCCAAGCTCAGCCCTGTGCCGCCCACCTGTGAGGTGCAGGCCTCGACGGGTGTGCAGGGTGGGTCGCTGAGATGCCCCTTTGAACTGTATTTTCCCTGTTTTTCATAATTAGGAGAGGGCAGGGCTGGGTGGGGTAAGACACGGGTTCACACACCCAGCAGGGTGCTGCAGCCTGGCTCTGCTGACCAGGACCAACACTCTCTCTCCTGGCGTGTCCCTGGTCCCCATAGGCCTCCCTCCAGCCCTGTGATTGTAGTCACTCATTTCCTTTAGCATTGTTTATATTTCCCGAGTCACAAATCCCTTCTGTTACCCGATTTTGTTTTCATAGAATGGCCTGGTTATGGCTGTCCTACTCTCCAGCCCGGCCACATTGTTGGCAATTTAATTTATTTACTTTTTTTTTTTTTTTTTTAAAGAAAGGAAAAAAGAAAAAAAATCAAAACTTAAAACTTTTCTTTTGCTGTTCCTATTGTGGGGATTCTGGTTAGGGTGGGGCTGGGTAGGATCTGTTTTACATGTTTCCTTTTCAACACAACCTTTGGTCTGACACCCGCTCTGGCCCCTTCTCCATCACCCTGTCTGAAACAGGAGTTTTGGCTATGGCAGTCGAGCACCATACCCCACGAAGAAATTTGTTCCCGCCCCTCTCAGTCTCCTAGTGAAACCTTAGAATTGGCAAATACATTTTGAAGGCAACTCTTCTCGAGTTTCCTGAGGAAACTTCTGCTTATCTGGGTTCTAACCTTCCGATGGGATACAAATTAGATAAGTCTCCAAAAGCAAGCTGAGTGCGCCGCCTGACCCGAGTCCACCTAAGGGCGTGGGGGCCGATGATGCCTGAGTAAGCGAGGAGGAATAGTACCAACGGTGCGATTGTTTTAAAAGCGCAGGTTGCCGTGGGACTGTGGAGGCCAGGGCTGCCCTTCGCCATACACTAGCTTCTCTTTGCGAGTTTCATTCCAGGCCAGTTGTTGGCTGAGGGAGCTGGGTCGTGGCTCCTTTGGGATTAGGCTGGGAGGGTACAGCTGAGAACCGTACAGGAGAGTTGGTGTTGCAGACACCGTGCTCAGGGATTTGAAGGGGTTACTGTGTCTTCTCATTCCTCTTCGCCCCTGCCTGCCCTGTCCAGGCCCACGCTGTCCCTTCCTTACTCAGATGAGTGAGGAGGCCAAGCCTCGGTGCCCTGTGCACCAGCGGGGTCTGCAGTTCTCTGGTTGTGCTGTCCATGGTGTTCGCTGCTAATAAATCTGTCACTCGGCTCTAAATTCTTAATCATTCCCTATGTCAGTCTTCTGGCTTTGACCTTTCATTCTAACTGCCCCGTCTTCCTTGCTTGGTAATGGACCTTAGACTGACTTTGAAGCCTTAAGAGACTGTCTGGGAGTTTGTATACATCACGTGCTTGCGTTCTGTGCCCTCCTGCCTCCAGTGACGTAACTATTCTCTTCGGCATGTGCCTTTAGCCTGAGTTCTGTTGCCCTAAATGTTCCCGCATGTGGGGGACCCTATTGCAGCACCTCTTTTTCCAGCAAGCACCCTTGATCTGGAAGACCACTGTGGGTGGGGAGCTTCTGCTCCCTAGGGTCTCCTGACCTGAGTGTAGGGGAGGAACCAGAAAGAACTATCCTGCAAACCTCCACAAGGACTTCCCTAGGCTAGAGATGGCTGCAGGCGAGAGTTCTTCCTGACAAGTGTGAGGGTCTGAGTTCAAATCCCCAGCACTTAAAGAATGTCTTTACCCCCTCCTGTGTGGGGCAGATAGTAAAGAATGTCTTTACCCCCTCCTGTGTGGGGCAGATAGTAAAGAATGTCTTTAACCCCTCCTGTGTGGGGCAGATAGGAGACTCCCTAGAGCTCGCTGGTCCCTGCCCAGCTCCAAGTTCAGCGACAGACATCGGCTCAAAGGAATAGGAATAAGGTGGCCCGGTGTGGTGGCGCACACCGTCAATCCCAGCACTCAGGAGGCAGAGGCAGGCGGATCTCCGAGTTCAAGGACAGCCTGGTCTACAGAGCGAGTTCCAGGACAGCCAGGGCTACACAGAGAAACCCCGTCTCCAAAAGCCAATATAAACATATTGTTTTAGTCGGGGTTATTACTGTGATGAAACACCATGACTAAAGCAACTTGTGAAGGAAAGGGGTTTATTTGGTTTATGCTTCTACATCCCTGCTCATCACTGAAGGATGTCAGGACCCGAACCGGCAGCAGGAGCTGATGCAGGCCGTGGAGGGGCGTGGCTTACTGGCTGGCTTTCCATGACTTGTGCCTGCTCTCCTTTTTTCTTTTTCAAGACAGGGTTTCTGTGTGTAACATTGCCCTTGAACTATAGAGATTCGCCTGCCTCTGAGTGCTGGAATTAAAGGCGTGTGCCACCACTGCCCAGCTCAGCCTGCTTTCTTAATGAACCCAGCGGTGGCCCCACCCACAGTGGGCCGTCTTTTATCCCCTACCTTCAGCAACCAATAAGAAAATGCTCTACAGTCCGATGTTTATGGGGCATTTTCTTGGGTGAGGCTCCCTCAGCTCCTGTAGCTCCTCAGCTTTTGCCAAGTTGACATAGACTAGGCAGCACACACATTTTTAACAAAAAGGGGCAGAAACACGTCTGTTACAATCCTCATTTCTACAACTGGTCATGCGGCCTTAGCTGTTTGCAAGTACCTTCCCCTGCCGCCCATTCTGTGTTTCCTCTACCCTCAGCCAGCACTTGGGTAATCTTGACTCCTTTCCTGGAGGAGTGACTCGCACCTTCATTGTCCTGCCTGGGTTAGGCTGTAGTTTCCCATTGACTTTAATTTCCCGGCATGATAGGTACCCTAAGAGATACCCTAAAAGATCTCCTGCACTCAGATGTAACGTTTCTTACCTCCACTGTGGAAAAGCTGTCCAGGCCATAGTAATATGTATTTATCACCCTTCCTAACCCTAATTGCTTCCTTAACCTGGTGGTGTAAGGACGTCCAAAACCTAAAGTGGCCAGTGCGGAATCTGAGCCTCCAGTTCAATGGAATATTGATTCTCCTGGCCAAAGCGCTCCCTAGTCTGAAGCCAGAACTTAAAGCTGCAGGCACAGGAAGTAAAGTTTTTCTTAATGGGTTACTGGGAGTGATAATGGGACCACCCCTTGATTCCCGGACCTACCTGGCTATAGGAGAAACCATTCCTTATATTGGCTGCTGATTCAGAGTATGCATACTCTGCCTGCTGGAGAGCCCTGCCTCGGTCCCAGATGCTGCGGCCAGCTCCTTGGTGCTGTAATGGTTTTCCAAAGGCCATTCCATCTTTCCCAGACCAGCTGCTTGAGAATGGTGGGAATGTGGTAACACTAGTGGATTCCATGATCGTGGGTCCACTGGTACACTGCTCTGGCTGTGAAGTAAGCTCCTTGGTCAGAGTACGAATGTGTGGAATACCATGTCGGTGACAAGGCGCTCTGTAAGTCCACAGGTGGTGGCTTTGGCAAAAGCATGTGCAGGAAAGGCGAATCCATAACCAGAATAAGTATCCACTCTGGTAAGGACAAAGTGTTACCCTTTCCGTGGAGGAATGGACCATTGTAGTCAGTCTGCCACCAGGTTGAAGCTGTAGCCAGTGCAGCCTTGCTGAGTGACAGTCACTGGATGAGCCCATATATAACCTCCATCTCTGCCACCATGGTCATGTAGTTCATATGCCCATTGGCACTGGCAGATCCGTGACACTGGGAAAGAGGCTGCCTGTCCACAGAACTGGCCATCCTCTCTACTTGAGCTCCCTCTTTGCTGAATTCACCTGTTTGTTGTCATCGTCGTTTCTGTTTTTCAAGACAGGAGTCTCTTTGCATCCTTCGCCCATTAGGAAAGGCGATATTTCAGGTTGTGGTGGTAGAAGGTAATCTACTGAGGGTGGAGAGACTACTTCCTCAGGTGAGATTAACCCTTGAGAATCTGAGGATTCAAAGTTCTCAGACTCCTGGGGTCTCCCAGGACCCCAATCTATACCAGCTAACGCCCTTACTGTAACCGCCGACACCCTTTGAGGCTGGGACCTGAATTTCTTTGTAATTTGGCCAGTCTTATTGAGCTCTGTGATGGCTGAGAAGATGATTCTCTCCTTGGGCAAACTTAGAACCCTTTTGTCTGCTTATAGAACCTTGGAGCTGGTCTGTTGTATCACTGAATTTTGTCAGAGAGTGCATTCTCTTTGTCAATTTAATTTATCCAGAGGTGCTAGGAACAACCAACCAGAATCATCATTTTTATTTTTCCAGAAATAGTCAAGTTTTTATATACACTCACCAAATCTGTTGCCTCACACAATTGGTGAGTCAGGGTAACCAATGCCTTTGTGCCCTCACATTTGTAAAATAGTTCCCACCATGGGCTTTCAGTTCTGTGGGGCTCCCAGGAGAGGCTTTGGTAACTGTAGGTGCTGGCAACGTGGAAAGCCTGTTCCAGATACTTAAAAATTAATCTTTGTACTTCCGTTGCTGTAGAACCCACTCACAGTACCAAAATGTGTATTGGTCAGTGTTCTCTATAGGAACAGCTGAGAGAGAGAGACAGTGTGTCGGGGATTGATTAAGGTGGCTGGCAGCAGAGAGGCGTTGGCACAGGCCTTTAGTCCCTGCACTTGGGAGGCAGGCAGGTGGTGCTCTGAGTCCAGGACAGCCAGGGCTACACAGAGAAACCCTACTATTGCTATGAAGAGACACCATGACCATGGCGACTCTTATAAAGCAATAAATGAAAAAACATTTAACTAGGGTAGCTCACATTTTCAGAGGCTTGGGCCATTATCACCATGATGCAACATGATGGTGTGCAG